GGCGGCTTCCTCGAGGCACTTCCCACGGGAACGCCGCTCCACGTGGCCATGCTCGGTCTCGACAGTGCTGGGAAAACCACCGCGTTGTATCGACTCAAGTTCGACCAATACCTAAACACCGTGCCCACCATTGGCTTCAATTGCGAGAGAATCCGTGGTGGCATCGGAAAAGCGAAAGGTAAAATCGAATCATTCTTAGCGTTTCTATACTAGTATACTATACTATACTTGCGACAACGATCAACGTTAAGGCACGAGTGTTTACCGCGGTTTTAGCTTGCGCTTTTCAACGCTGCATACACCAATTCGCGGGTTATCTTTTTGGTTAATTTCCGGCTGTAGAAATTGGTTGGAAAGTTTTTAATGAAAATCCACTGCGTATTTCTTATCGTACTAATCTTGAAGATAGAGTAGGCGAATTTTTATTGGCTGGAATTGTCACATCGCGCGAGCCATTCGAAAGTCGTGTCGATCGTAAGCCATAAATTGAGAAACGCGGAAAAGCGATCACGTTACTAGCGATGATATTCTTTAAAATTTTCTAGAGTTACTTTCGACATCTTCTTGTAGCAAACCGAAACAAGTCACGCGGTAAACACCGATTTGCAATCGGCGATGATTTTTCCCAATGCAGCGTCTACAGTTGGAACGCGCAACTATCGTAACTGAACACGTAACCATTACGTGGTCAGGATAACGCTGAACGCGGACATTTATTACAGTTACCGTGTGCGTGGCAACGTAATAAGTCAATGTCGATGTCGATGTTTCTTCGTACGACTAGGTCTCGTTGTCCCAGAAACCTGGTAGCAACGATCGCGCCGAGAGATGGAAATCGCGTTAAAGAACCTCTTCCTCTTTTGTCCCTTTGCACTTCGTATGGCGGCGTGTCTGCTTTAGAGAAAGTACAGTTCACAGTGAAAAGAAATCACGATCGTTTCCTAAGCATTAGAGAAGCGTCCTACGAGTTCCATTTCTTTGAATTAAAACAGGATGTGAAAGCAACTAAAATGCGCGTACCGTGGGCTATACTCGAGATAATAACGTCAGGATAAAAAATATTACCTTCCACGTTCTGCCAATTATTTTACATAGCATTTTCATAGCGTTTTCCATGGCCAAAGAAAGGTTAAACGCTGTGCAGGGAAAATTTTCACATTCCCCTTGGTAGGCTTTTTAATATCTTTAGAAAGCAAATCGTGAAAAGATCAATCATTTCCGTGATAGAAACACGAAAAATTTCTGGAATAAATGGTTCTTTTGTATTAATTAGTGCAGATTTTGCAAATGACAACTCATTGATAAATTGAAATCTAATACCAAAGTTCCACAGGTTGATTCTATAGATTTTTAGATTTTATCGTTATTAGATCCTTTATATTAGATTATAAAAATAAAATGTAGAGTATTAGATTTATGTAAAATTCAAAGGTGCAAAAATTTGCAGAATTACGTTCGAAATTATTGTTCGAGACATACGTAAAACATCCAAAGCAAGCCAAATTTCTACTTAGCTTCCACCTTTTTAAATTACCTGCACAAAGCCAATAATTCGCGCAACCATCCGCGGTCTAATTATTATTAAATCCGATACTTGTTCCATTCCGATATAAAATTGTAAACGAAAAATGTATAAGCTACCAGCTGTAATTTATCGATTCGTTAATATTATTTATTTTCATAAATTTATTATGCCAAAGCCCAAATCCAACAATGTAGTCGCATCTTTCCACCCTAAACGATAGTTTCAAGCTTTTGTTCAAGGAAAAAGAAAATGCTATAGAAAAAGAAGAAGGCAAGTAAAACGGGTTGCTATGGTGGTTTGTCGCAGGTGTGAATTTTCTCGTATGGGACGTGGGAGGGCAAGAGAAATTGCGACCATTATGGAAGTCTTATACCCGGTGCACAGACGGTATTATCTTCGTGGTTGACTCTTGCGACGCGGAACGGCTCGAGGAGGCAAAAATGGAGCTGACCAGAACAGCCAGGAGCCCGGATAACGCTGGTGTTCCCATTCTGATCCTGGCCAACAAGCAGGATCTGCCAGGTAACACGGTACTCGTGCATGTCTGCATGTGCTAAGTTGGCGTTTCGCCTCGATCATAAGAGGAACCGTGGCCTCTTTTGTAAATTAAACTGCTCACGGTGACGCAGAGTATTAAAAACGCGTTCTCCTGCTTATCCTATCTATCGTCTTTTACAAGGATATACTGGAAAGCGTTTCCGTGCCTCGTTCGTTTATTTCAGTATATGTCTAACGATAACAGGAGATATAATTGGAATGGAAAACGAAAGAAATTTAATTGAAACTCGGACTAAGCGTTTAATTATTTCCGAGACTTTGCTTAATTGCTTGAGAGAACGTAGTATTAAACGTCTGTTCGTGTCTATTCTGTAAGCTGTCTTTTAGAAGCAAGTGTTAGTGAAAATGCCAAGGTTTCTGTCTCCCTCGTTTATTTCAATGTTTGTTTAGTAATAACGTAGAGATAAGAGGAAAAGAAAGCGAAGGAAGACGATCTTACGCTTGATGTTATGCGTTTAATTATTCGCGTGGGACTTTGCTCTATCGCTTAAAATGATATATGTAGTATTTAGATGTGTTCTCTTGTTCGTCTAAGATATATTCCTTTGTAAGGAGATATTAGAAAACGCAGACGTTTTTCTATCTTCTTCGTGTAATAATAATTAAAAAGAATGAGCACCATTTTCTATTCCCAACGCTTGCTCGGTATTATTAATACACTGTTATAGAAAAGTAGATTTTTCTTCTATTTTAAATTAAAAGTTTCGTTATCCGCGAGACTTCATTTGGACGTTAGCTGTAGCAAATGGTTTCCGTGTTCAGAAACAAGATCAAATTGCTTTCGAAGACTTTAAGAGTATGAACAAGTGGCTGAGAAGACAGCCGCGTATCGGTTTAAGCTTATGGCTTCGCTACGAGGATTATAAATGCACTTGACCGCAATCTATATTGGAGCATGATTAGATTATAGATTGTATATCTATGAGGCGGCAGCACTTGATTTCACAAACACATTGCTTTTAATGGTCTTGAAAAAAAATTTGATAGAAGACAGTTGCGTCATTCGTAAGATTATCGTTTTCGACTTCTATATATTATGCTTTTATGCCTTTTATTATGTAACTGAATGTAGATCATTGAATAACACTTGCCATTCGTGAAGTTCAACGTCTACAGACCATTGATTCGGCAAGGATAATCGTTTAGAAACAAAGAATATGTAATCTGTCCTCTTAGATTAACCAGACACATATAGTCTTTTATCGAACTTGATTCAATTTCTAGAATCCTAAAAATATTCCTCTACTAATTCAGTCAGAGACCCAAATATAGTCAAAAGACTCGAACTATATCCTTTTTCAACTACGATCCTAAATTACAAGATCCAATGATCCTGAACTACTTACCAAAGAAGAAAATCGTCACCGTAACAGGAACTCGAATTCCACCACAAGACCCGAGTTATCTTCGTCCTTTTAAATTCCAAATAAGAAATATTCCTCATGATCCTGAATTATTGCGAAAAGAAAATGTTCCTGAAATCCAAAATCCATCGCAAGACCTAAACTACCTTCATCGTCGACTAAAACTCTAGATGAAAAAATTCTGCGATACCGAAGATATATTTCATCACGAGAATTCCATCGCAAGATCACAACTGCGTCTCTTCATTTTTGATAAAAAAAAGTCTAAATTAAGATTTTACGCGGTCCTAAACTACCAGAAAAAAGATGATCGTGGAACGCTACAGAGATGCAAGTTCCATCGCACAAGACTTAAACAACCTTCATCCTCGATTCATCATTAACACATACCATCAACGAAAAAGTATTTATTTTTCACGATCCTGAGCAACCAGAGAAGGAAATCCTCTTTTGAACCAAACACCTCATCCTGTTACCGCTCTTTGCTCTCAATACACCCAATAACTGACCAAACCGTTCCGCCTGATGTCCACAGGTGCCAAAGAGGTGGGCGAGTTGGAAAAGCACTTGGGCGTCCTGGAACTAGCCGGAATGCCAGGCAGTGCGTGCATCAGAGTGCAGCCAGCCTGCGCGATCACCGGCGAAGGCCTCCACGAGGGGTTGGACACGTTATATCAGCTGATATTGAAGCGACGTAAGCTCGCGAAACTGAACAGGAAGCGGGCCAGGTAGGCCAGGGCCTCGGAGGACTGCACGTGCGTCTTCTGATTTTGTAAGTCGCGGACAGTCTCTCCTTTGGATACAGCCACGCCTTCCACGGTGTCTTCTTCCTCGTCCTCTTCGTCATGCTGCAATGACGACGTCCACGAGGTGCTCGAGTGAATGCACGTGTACACAAACCTGCCGTTCACGCGGACAATTGTTCTCGTCGTAGAACACCCTCGATTTTTTGTTCCCGACGATTGTTTCTCGGACCAGTGTTGCTCTCGAGAAGCTGGCCAACCGGATGTGTGTTCTTAATGGTGCAAGCTGAACGGTGGATTCGTGCAACAGAGATCGAAACAGATCTCGTGGTATCGTACACGGGGTCGTGGTTCTACGTTCTTCGATGGAGATGCTTAATTTTTCTGATACAAGAAAAGTGGACGGCCTCTTACGAAGGAGGAGGTCAGAGCTATACTTGGACGTATTCCTTTGTCGATTGATTCGTTTTGATTTAGTTTAACAATGCGTATTTAACGAACGAGGCATATACGAGACGATGAAAACTGCCACTAAAGCTGCGTGGCTGACGCAACATACTCTAGAGAAGAATACGAAGAGAGGACAGCGGTCCTAGAAGAAGCTAAACGATTATGACAGACGATGACGTCGGTCTGAATATTTTTCCGATCGGATGCTCTGACTGGGGTTGTTTTACTCACCGATCACCGGCTATTTTTGCCGATCCTAAACGGTGCACAGACGTGTTCTCGCTTTTTCAAGAGAAGATCCGGAGGACGTAGGAAATTTTCGAGGCAATGGTGAATCACTCGCCGATATTTTAGGTGAATCGTGAATGTCCGTGATGACAACGAAACAAGTGCTTCTCCGCCGTAACACAGAAGCTCTATTTTGCCAAATTTTGCATCGTTCCTTGGGAAACTTTTCAACGATCCCTGCCGATTGCCTCCGCTTGTTATCGATAACGAGCTCGGCAGCCGCTTAAAGCCGTACATTTCGCTGATAAAAATGGAATTGAGAAGGCAGAAATATTTCGCTCGGAAGAAGAGGTCAGGACTTTCGCTATAACGAGGCTTCATCGACGACTTCGTTGCTGATAAAGATGACGTCGAATCGTATTAATAATGCTGACGTGGGCCCGGTTCAAGAAGGCCAAGATAAAACCTGTATATTAATAACTATGACTGTAAGCTCGCGAAATGATCTGGATTAATTAAAAGAAATCGATCGCGATGGAGGAAGGGAACATCTGGCTACGATTTTCGATCAGAATGGATATAGCACCGGAGATTTGTTACTTGGTCAATGGATACGCTAGATGAGTTGCCATTGCAACGAGTAGAAGAAAATTTTGCTAGACGATCTTTCGCTACGTGGAAGATCCTCGAGCTCTTGAGTTATCCTTTGTCGTGAATTCGTCGTGTTAGTCGAGTCGTAGTACGCGTTTGTAGAGCTCCAGGTGAATCGTCGACCTTAGGTATTCAGACGATGATCGTGCCTCTCCAATTTTTTGCACCTTTATACCATGTGACGAGAGAAAAAGAGATAAAACGATCAGACGTAATAGAATATCGTTGCTTCTTCCCGACGAGTGGAATTTTTGTAAAACGATGTGATAACAACCATCCTCAACCCTTTATCTTTCATCTTTATTGTTCAATTAGCCTGTATCGTACGTATGTACACGTGAATCAAATATTGTATTCGTTGTATCGTGCTCTGTAGGGGAGTAGGAAAGCAAACCGATCGTTTTGAGCTTAATTGAAATCGATACATATCGCGCCCCCTCCTCCTAACTCTAATAAATGATTCAGCGTGTTATTCCTTTTATTCAAATCGGAATTGAGAGATTTTCTGGAAAAAAGAGAGTCCATTAGCATTAACATGGCGAGTCGAATAAATCGCGTTGGAAGCTTTCCATTTCCTCCTTATTTAATATTAACTGTGTTTCAACTTTCTTCCTTTTCTCATGTTTTTATAAAACGAACAAAAATTTCAAAAGCAGACCTACATTTTTCAGAAAGCTGCTCGATTATTCCTGAATATGATCCGTTGGATCATGACCGATTGCACGTTACGTATTCCGCGAGTTTATACGTTGAACGTTTACAGCGAGAACTATGAAAGTTTGAGAGTTAGCTTTTACGAAAGGTTCATTAGGAAATTGATCGATTTCCGTATGAACATTTTGAGCGATGGTTACAGCTCAAAACGGTGGGTGCTCGTGTTTCTTGCCACTGTACTTTATTCTTAACGGTCCCTTTGACATGTGGACTTCCGGTATATGCAGTTCTTATCGACCACCGCCAATGCGAGACGATATTTTCTATGGCGTTGATGATATTCCGTGGGAAACATATCATCATGAAATTTTCCTTTTGTTCAACAATTCGGACATTATGAACATTCGCGAATATTATAGATCGATTGTTACAGTTTCTTTCATGTCTATGATACGGTTGCAACACGTTTAATATCAAACGTTGGATATCTTTCAACGGTGATTCCTATTTATGGAAAATATCGTACGAAATTATATTGTATCGGTTCGTCGAGGAAGAATTGCCTGCTCCAATTAGAAGTATATATACGTTTGCCGCTAACAAGTTACATATTCGGTTTTCGCGTCTCGGAGAGCGCAAAGTTCTGATTTCGTTTGGTGTTCTCGTGGCCGTCCCTTCTACGTTTCCTTGCGATTTTTCCAAACTCCGCATGAAACTTCCATTTTTCATCTATCTTACCTGGGAAACAGTTCTTCCGTAAAGTTTCATCTTCTCGCCAAAGAAGTCTATATACCGTTTTAACTCGTGGGGAGACTCGTTACGCGAAACTGCAACAGCGATACTTTGCATTTACCTTCGACAAGAAGCGCTTGCTTCTTCTGGAATCGCGGCACTATCAAACAATTACGATCATATTTAACGAGCTCCAGCAAGTTTACCAGGAGACAATATTTTCGTGGAGAACATGCAAAACAGTTCCGAATCGAAGCAAGAAGTTGAAGCAGGCACTTGTGGTGTATTTACTGGCGAACTAGCGCAGGAAGGAGGATCGAAAAAGAAGAAAGAACGCAGCCTCCACTAGCAAAATGTAGCGCTTTGTTTCCGGACCGACGAGGCTAGGAATGGGAATCGAGCACACGAAAGTCGGACGACGTAATTTGACTGGTTATTTATTGCGGTGCACGGATCGATGTTAAGGTGGGAGACAGAGGGCAACACGAGACCGGAAATCGTGGTTTGCGGCGAACGATATACAAGGGCGTTATCCGGAACAACGACCCGCTGTGACGGAAGTAGCCGTGAAATCGGAAGCGAGCCGCAAGATGGGAAAAAGTAAAAAGGAAGGACATCAGGAAACGAATACATCCTTCCTACATAAATTGGATATCAAAGTGGAGGAACTGATTCGCGATAAGCGATTTCTTAGAAAAGCTACGGTTTTCTTTCTAAGCAGATTCTCGTTCGAGTAATAGGACACTGGTGGGAAATTCGAAACACGAACGATTACCGAGAAATTGTTAACATTTTGGAGAATCACTATTTCATTCGAAATCGTCTTCAATTATAAAGTAACTTCAGGGTAATTCTATTTGAAGTAAAAATGAAAGGTGTCGATTTGATATACGGCATTGTCTCAGTTGATTTATTAATTTTGTTATTTATTATTTTTTTAGAACAGAGAATAAAATGGATTATCTCAATTGCTCGATTAATTTTCCCGTAACACTCGCGATTAATCCGATTGCAATTTTCATTGAACGTTTCAAATTGTTATCTCGCACGAATCTAAAATTCTGATTGATGAATCGTTTCCTGTTGCGAATTAGAATATACATCTTTCATATATGTTTCTTTAATCATTATTCACAATCAAAGAAGCCTATTCTACTCTAAAATCAATTTGTTAGTTTGAAGAAGTTGATCATTGTATATATATACGTTTCGTTAAAAGCTCTTCTCGAGTCTTCGCCTGTTTCAAATACTACTAGAACGTAAATTGATGGAAAAGAAAATTTTCAGTTCTCAAATCAGCCGCGCAAAGAAACACACGGAGACATTTTCTTCGTTCCGAGGAAAATATCGAGAGACAGAGACTCGAGGGAAGCAGGTTGTCACCTCGAAGCAGTTGAGAATCGATAAAGGTGCAATGAGTCACAGCCAGACACGGCGCCACGCGATTTATTGTTGCAGAAAACGCGAAAAAGCCATACTGGTCACGCGATTTTTTAATATTTAGGAAAATTGTCGCGATAAAGAATGATGCGAATGTGTGCTGCATCTTGCCATCGATGCTCGCCGGCAAGAAGAAGATGGCAACGGAGTCCGTGTCACTGAAGAAGGCACGTAAGAATAAGAAAAACGCGTTTGAAGAGAACGGGAAGACGCATCATGGATGCATGAGACTGGAAAACCACGTCCTTGAGGAAATAGGAAAAACGATGTCGATCGATGACGCGTGTTATCAGATATCCACGAGGTGATATTTCACGTAAAATGGACGAAACTTGTTCCTGATTCCATTTTCTTGTAGATTATTTTCCTTAGAAAACTCGACGAGTTTCCTAATCGTCGGTTGGATACGTCGAACATATCAATATAAAATTATACGAACGTTCGTGTTACCTTTGTTGTGCATCAGCGTGTCGTAAGGGAGATAAGGAAGCATAAATCTTCGTTGTTGAGAGCCTTCAAAGGATCTTGCAGTTAGAAAATATTTCACGGCAACGACGATTTTTTTAATGGATTGTAACAGTCAAGGACTTTGATGGAACTGTTTCGCGTGGAAAGGAAGACGAACTGCACGGAATGGAACCAGTTTCTTCACACTTTGTTGCTCGGTACGTCTAACGACCCCTTTAGATACGCTTCCTACAACTCACGTGTGCTGGAATGCGTTGAAAATGCATCGATGGATGTCGAACCACCTTGCATCTTCTTGGGGTTCTTTCTCTTCCGCTATTTTGCGACGACTCATCTTCGACTTCTCTGCCATTTCTCCCATAAGCCTTGTTCAATCTTGCGCATATACAACGGCCAACTTTTCGCAGATTCGACTAATTTCTCGCAAAACGTACGGATAAAAGAGCTTGCGCACTCTTATCGCGCCGTGATCCTTGTCCCATTGCCAGCGCTTTAATTTCGTTCAATTTCATACAAGTTTTATCATTTAGCCGCCGGTGATTCTAGCGTTAATGAAGCGACGTCAAGCGCCTTCGTTCGATCGGGTCGCTAGTTTTCGTTAATCAGAGCGGGCGTACGAACACGAAAGGATATACGAAATCAACCAAATAACAGGCTCGCATTGCCGTCGAGCAACTCGTGCAGTCTGGGCCAGCTTTTACGCCACTTCCGCTCTGTCTCCGTAAGTCATCGAGTTTACGAGAAACCTCCGCGTGCTCTGCCAACACGTTTCCCCCAATCCAATTCCTGCAGTCCGGAAATTTCGCGAAAAACTAAGAAACGAGAATACTTGGAAGATGCTCGTCGTTCCAAGTTCCTTATAACAGTCAGGACTTTCCTCTTCGCTCGCGTGGCACTCGCGGTGTCGCCTTAACCCAGTTTACAGCGAACTTCCGGTGGCACCGATCGCCGCGACCGACAACTTAATTACCACGGTCTCTAATTAGCGTGTCCTCCTGGTCCTCGACGACTTAGAAGGGCGTCGCGACGAGAGCACACGTTCCGCTTTTCTCTCTCTCTCTCTCTGTGTATGTGTGTATGTGTATGTGTGTGTGTGTGTGTGTAGAAAGGCGAGACGAACGGAAATAGAAGAAGGAAGAAAGAGGAAGCGGAAAGGACATAAAGGAAATGGAAAATCGTAGAAGACGAGTGTAACGAGTGTCGATGCTAGTCGAGTGGAGAATCATTTCGAGGAACCAAGAGAGTGTGGACGGTAACGAGTACGTGTAGCGTACGCCAAAAAAAAAAAAATGATTACGAAACGAAACGTTTAATTACTTGTAAGAACATTGTACATAGGCAACCGCAGGCTGTAAGTTTTCGTAGGATTTCCTTACAGCGTGGAAACTTTTGCGTTGCATCGGAAAGTTCAAGTACAATCGCTGCTCGGCCTCGGCGGGTTTGCTGGTTATTTTACAGGGTTGATCTGTAATTTATGATAAATAAAAGCGACGATTCTGTTGATAATAATAGTTTATTCCGATGTTGTTTCGTTGGGGGATGGCGATTATCGCGAAGTGAAGCGGTTTCAGGGGTAGGAATTAAAAGTAGCGAATTATCGACGTACGCGGAGATTGTTTGAATTCTTTGAGTTTTTGTACATGATCGATGCTCCGAGCAATGCTCGAAGAAAGAATGAAAATAAGATTAGAAAAATTGAGCAACGATCTTATATGTAATATAAGTATAACATGAAAGTTTTGTTGAAACGGTTACGATTTAATACTAGAAACACCAAATGTGTCTTTGTTATACCTTAAAAACAATATTGGAGAATAATCTCTTATTATTTGAAATAAAATGTAATATACGTATATGTTTTTTAAATGCAAAATTTACAAGTAATTATATTCGTTAAAGTGAAAGTAACAATTTGCGAAACGGAATGATCCGATTGATGGTTTTAGCGTTAGTTAGGTATCTTGAACAATTGGGAATCTATAAGAGTAGTTATATTTCATTTTGTTAAATGTATAATCGATGGGCATGGTAATTAGTTAGAGTACACTTAGCCAGCGCGGTGCTTAAACGACTGATCGACATATCGGTAACAATTGAATCGATAATAATTTACGCTTGATTTTCCGACCAACGACCACGCAGTTCCACGCTTAGAGAGGAAATCGACCAATGTCTGTCGAGTATGATTGTTGTTTTTTATATCGACTGTCGTTCAACAAATTCTATTGTATACTAATACTTGCCCCTTGTTGTGTTTTATTACCATTCGATATTTTATTATCGTGCTTCGAACGATAGATCGCAGTATTTATGTATAATTAAACACGTAACGGCTAACCATAGCGAACGATCGAGTTAAACTGAAAGAGAGAAAGGGAATTCTGCAAATGGTAAACCGTGCGCAGAATTGTAGCAACAAGCGTGTGAAAAGAGAAGAGAAGAAAAAAAAAAGTTAATGTAAAAAGGAAGCAAAAGAGGGGAGCAGATCGTGTTTTTACTGTAACGAGAACGATTATTATATCGTCATTCGTCCTCGCGCCGCTTCAATATTCGTATATTTATATAGTAGACTCGCCACTCTTCTCTCGTGTGCGTGCAGTAGATGCACCAGGTGAATGTGATTGTACTCTGGGACACGCAGCTCGTCCCATCAGACTGAATGGATCTTTTCCGACTGTGAGCGAGGATTTTTCCAAATAAATCAGCTAATTCCGTTATGTTTTAATCGTGCGTCGTTCATTTATTCAGTCCCTCGATGTTCAAGAGATTCAAGAAAACCTGGTAATCGTTTTAGTTATTTAGTTATCGAGATAACTTCGCTCGTGATTCAATTAATTTCAGTTTTTGCCAATTAATTCATTTATCAGAATTATCGTAGAGTTTGAACATTCTTTGGAACTGTTACAGTTGTTTTATTCGTAATGCCGATTCAGAATAATTTACACATTAGAAAATTGTCCAGGTGGGATAAAGGATGTCTTCGATCTTCTCTGGAATACTAAATTTATGCCTCCGGAAACTTTCGTGACGTCTTTCCCAAATTTACATTCATACGAGGAAACCAATATTCTTATTATTCATGGCATCGATGTAACGAGATTATCGAAATTTTGATCATAAATCGCACGTTGAATGTAGGTAATTTATAGCAAGTTCTATCGACAGCGGGGGAAAAAATCCGACATAATCGAGTTAAACTTTTGATCAAATCGAACGAGTGCTGTTTCAAATTAAAACTGCAAAGAAACCGCGTTCGATACACACCGCCGTAATAACTCGAAGTAAGCGACGCGCATAACTTTCCACGTATTTTAACCATACCACGCTAACAGAAAATTCGGAAAAATTGCCGCTCAAATACCAAACATCGGTGTACAACTTGTCAAGTCGTAATCCTCGAAGATTCGTCGTTCGAAAATCCCAAGG